CAGCACAGAAAGTGTCCTTCCAGTGCCAGGGCACCTCTGGGAACTCAGCAGAGCATTCAGGCTGATTTCCAACATGGCAATCTTATTTCCAAACATAGAGGATAGGATGCAAAATGCCTGCGGGACACTTAAAAGATTAGCAGCATGGCTGGACTGGGGCTGTGGGTGTGCCCCGACGCTCCAGTCGCAAACACAGATGTGACAGTTAGATCTGCTTCACAAGTACAAACAGGAGAGACCCGTGTGAAATAAGCCATAATTTCATGTGTGAACTACCACCAGGAGAGAGCACAGGGACGTGCATTTGACAGAAATGCCCACAGCACAAGTTTCACCACTCACCTTGGGGCTCCTGGCCTCACTCATCACTGCACAGGATCCAGCAACTTGGACACTCAGGCTCTGAAATTCTTGAATATTTGAGAGGTTGATAAGTGGAAATAAGTAGCTGACTCATTTGTTTAGCCTGGTTGTAAGAACTACAATGAATGCTCTTGGGCTATAAGATATATAGCTGGTGCAGAGGTCCACAGTCGGTGATACAATGTGGACAGATAGGTTCTGTTTCACATAGTCAAATGGTAAGGAATCCAGACACAGGTAAGAGTACAAACATGCAAGGGAGTAACACTGTGAATGCTGGCGAAGGTTTGCAGCCAGAACCCACAGCTGAGAGGAAGTACAAATGATGGTGACACAGAGTCTCTGGGACAAGAAGCAAAGACAGGCCAGGGGAAGGGGAATTTTGTGCTGAGCCATACATTTATCCAGCTGAGGGATGGAGAAGCAGGAGATGACAGGAAAGTCATGTTCTCAGAGCACATAACAAGAGCAGGGTGTTGTGGGGAACAGAAGTACAGTGAAGGACCAAGCAGGAGTCCTGCTTACCTCAAACAGCAGGCAAGCCTCAGAATCTAATCACAGGGTGCAAGTTCACACTAAGGAGAACTCCCTGTCTTCCACACAGACACAACAGAACTGAGGCACACAAGAGCCTGGAGTTTCCAGGCAGGAGGAGGTATGTCTTTCTCCCAGGGCTGGAGAGAATAGTTCCTCCTTTGTATTGTCTATACCAGTGCTGAGTATTCAGAGTGAATTGCCAGCAGTACTGACAGAGCATGTGTGAGCAAAAGAGCCTGTGGGAGCCTGGTGTACTTGCCTGATACAAGCAGGTGTCTGACACATGGTGGCGGGGGGAGGGGGGGAGGCTCATAGGCTCCCAACACAGAGACGGAAGGAGAGCTTCACAGGATCCTCACACAGTTGAATGAAGGAGGATTTCACAGAATTCTGACACACAAGGATAGGGGGAGGGCCTCCCAGGAGCCTGAGAGACACACCTGAGAAAGAGAAGTGCTGGAAGTTCCTGAAGAGCAGAACTAAAGCTATGTCCTTCAGATTCCGCAGCAAGGAGGTTACTGATGGTCTGAGCAGGCGCCATGTATGGCTACTGATAAACTTATCCTCTAATTCAAGTGGTCGGGCTTTCTACCCCCAAATTTTTTACCCCAAACTTTTATTCCCCATCTGCCTTTTTTAAGAAAGCCAAGTCATAAGAGACTAATATCAAAGATTACTGAATTCAAGGCCTTACCCTTGAAATGTAAAGCAGCTTCCAATTCAACGCTTGCCAGGTTAAATATGAATAAAGCCGTTGAGCTTCCAATCCACAGGCATTTGGTGCCCTCAGAAGAAAATCTGATCTTAGAAAAAAAAGAAACAGTCTTCCTTCAGGTTAGCTCCACAACAGAATTCCCGTTCCTCCATACAATGGGGACGGACACACACCTGTCTCCACCGACACTTCACCTAGTTACTTCTTAGCCCATAGTTATACTTGGGAATTGGGTGTTGAGTTTCAATGCAGCCACTCCTGCTATTGGAAACAAGTATCCCTGAGAGTCAGAACATGACCATAGCTCAATTCAGTGTGCTCTGTATTTTCTCCTGAGTTTACTAAAGCAGTTGATGGCTAAGACATCTGGAAACCTGCCGATCATGTGAGGATCTAGGCATGTGCTCAGATCAATGTTGCCAGTGGCCATGGCGGAGGAGCTGCAGACAACAATGGAGTGTATGAAACACAGCCCAGGAGACAGCAAAACTATGCTGGGTGCATCCAGGAGAGGCAAAGGCTGGGAGGACTGTCTCCAGGATACCCCTTGCGTTTGTTGTGCTTCCTCCTGCTGTATTTGGTATGGTGTGGTTACCATATGAAGGGATCCCACTGTATCTACTATAGTGTGGTTGTTTCTTGGGAAAACCTCACTGGGCAGTTTACTTGCAGATTGTAATGAATATGATATTTGTAGGTGCAATGAGGCTTTTAGTTAGATCTGTGGTTTAATTGAACTTTCTGAGTTAGCCTAACAGACACCAGTGGTTAGGACAGTCAGTGATGATGATTAGGGACATGGATTAGGTTATTCTGACAGTCGCTCTAGTAAGAGGCTTACAGCTACTCGAGTGTTTCTGTCCCTTCACTTTATCCCAGAACACTAGAGTAGCTATAACCCTCTTACTAGAGCAGTCGGCAGGCACCCCTCCTTAAGCCCATGTTACACAGTCCAGCTCTTGCCATGTCACCTGACAAATCATGAAGAACAAGACTCAGTAGTATGATCCTGGCTTTGCCTACAGGAACTCCCAATACTCTGAGGTAGGACACAAAAGTTCTGTGACTCCAGGGCAGGAACCAGCCCTTCTCCTGCCTCTATTTTGCCAGTGTGACTTGGACTAGGAGGGAGTGCTCTATTCCCCAGGCCCAGGCTGTGTAATGAGCAACCTCGCCCATCTAGAGCCAAATTCACAGATGCTAAAGCTGCTGCACTTCCTTGGGAGGAAAGGCAAGCTCTTAGACAATGCTTCCTTGTGTTCCCAAGAATTTATAATATCTCTATCATGTTCAAAAATAAATGAGTACAATTCACTTGGGGTTGATTTTAACATGAAACACCTGGGAGAAAGAGAGTAAGCTAAGACTGCCGTGTCACAATTCAAGAGAAAGTCCTACTACAGACGTTCTGTCTACCTAGATTTGGTTAGAAAAGATATCTAATTCCTCTTGCTAGTGCAACTTGAATAAAACTGGCAAATTTTACTAAAAATCTAAGACTTAAAATATGCAATTTTAGGAACACAGTCAGTAATTATAAGAAACAACAAAACTTGGTGTTTACTTCAACCATTCATAAAACTGAACTTAAGTCTCACTTAAGAAAGCTAGTGGCCCGACTCTGGCCCTGTTCCTCATACGTACACTCCACTCTGGGAATCCTGCAGGCAGAGGTCACACTGTGCCAGACTCAGGACAGGGAATGTTGCTTCAGCTTCTTCCCTTTTATCCACCTCATGTCTGGAGTGGTACCGACTGTCTTCTAGGGAACAGAGTTATTGATTACCTAAGAAGCAAAGCTGTTTAGCGATCAGTTAATAGAACAGATGCAGGGATGCTTCAGAAATATATGTTAACAGAATGAATCATAAGTCAGAAAAGCATTTATATTTTGAAGACTAAGAAAAATAAAGCTAAAACTCAAAAGGGAATCCTAGATTGAGTTTACAAGGGATGGGGGATGGGGGGAAGAGACTGTCAATGCAGAGAGAGGTTAATGCCACGATTCCTAAAAAGGATCTAAGCTGTAGTAAAGAATGAGCGACTGTTTATTAAAAAAATAACAAAAATCATGACTTAATATATTTGGAAAAAAAAGAGATATGCTGGTAGGACAGTTATTTCTGACCTAATTTTTAAAAAAATCATTTAAAGCCATACAAAAATATAAACTAAGGAATGAATGAATATCTGTAAGAACAAATATATAGGGCAGGAAAGTATCAAGGAAACTAACACCCACACACATGATAGCTCTCAGTCTCACTGAGAAAAGATGCCATCACTCCTCACGTAAGTGCCAGCTCCTTCAGGGACCTGGAGCAGGTTAGTGGAAGTATGGGGGAGACAGATACGGACAAGTGGCTGCAATTGTGGATAGCAGAGCTGGTGAGGAGCTTAGGGAAGTAGGCAAGGATGCAAAGGCAGGGCCTGAGACCTGAAGGAAAGGATGGGTGAGCATTTGAAACAGAAACAATGAGGCAACACCCTGGGGGCAATGCACCAGTTTGCTCATATGCTCCATCCAGATGGCCTCGGGGCCTGCCCTCTTGAGCTCCTGCTCTGACTACAACCCAAGGGTTTGTGTTCTCCCATTCTCCGAGTCCCTATGCTCCACACAGTGCTCTGTGAGCCGGGCTCCAGCCCAGGACAAAGAACCTATGGGGCTTGGTGGTGCCAGAAGTCAGGAAACTCTGCCTTTCCCAAATCAGAAACTTTCATTCCTTCCCACCCTGTCCAACGGAGACCCTGACATGTGCCCTGAGGTGCTGTCGGGGGGGATGCCTATAGGGCACAATAAGCATACCTGGAAGACTGTACTGCTCAGCCATCATTCTTCGAGTGGAGAAAGTCTCGCTTTTCTTCCTTAGGTCCACGTGTGCCACACAGTGGTAGTGATGTCTCTCTATCAGACTAAAAATCCACAGCTACAAAAGCAAAATAGTTAGACACAGATCTCTTTCAAGAAGTGACACTGATTGTAAAATCCAAAGGAAAGGGGGGCAAAACAGGTAAGTGACATCACATATTTTCCTGGGTTCTCCCAGACACTTGGGCTATCCTGAGTTGCTTTTAGCGCCTCCTTGAAAGCGGCGCAGCTTCTGAGAAGGTGCTTACAGTGGGGTTTGTCCAGAACCTTAGGTCAGACAAGGCTGTGAGTGATTGTCATACAGAGCCACCTACAGGGGCCCCCAGATCATGGACACCTACACAGCACGTGCTACAGACTTTGGTCCATGAGCTCTTCTACCAAGTTACTGGGCCCTAGCACACAGGAGAATGGCAGTTGAGCTTAAGGAAAAGAAAATAAACTGTCTTAGCTTCCTAATGTACAACTTCATCATATTTATATTAACAGTGGCTTTATAAAATAAACTTAAAGTGTTTGCATTAAATTTTTTAAAATAAGTATCTTCAGTTTTAATCTAATGCTAATGACTGAGCAAGTGGTTTCAACTCTTGCTGTGTTCAAATACTGCATAGTACTGTTAAGAGCATGCAGATCAAGGTCACTGCTGCAGACCAAAGGCCTCCAAACCCCACCAACCCCACCACAGTGCTTAGATGCACAGTGGGACAAAGTCTAGAGCACGGCAGGTGATGACATAAAACAGAGATCTTGTACACACTCAGTTCCATATATTTGAAACTCAGGTGTAACTGCAAAGGGGTCTTACCTGGCCATCAGCACTGCCAGTGACCAGCTGCTGGTTTTCTTCATTGATAAGCAAACTCAGGAGAGGGTAAGCTGAAGAGGGCACACAGGACATTCAGTATAGACAGTGCTTCTTCTAGTTGATTTTAGCACTATTCTGATTATTAATACTTGGAGGCAAAAATTATAAATGAATATAAATTTGGAAACACTCATGAGCAATCCAAAATAGGGATGCTGCACCAAATAAGAATGGTGACAGATAGGCAATAGACAGACAGATGATACAGACAGACAGACAGACAGACAGACAGACAGACAGACAGACAGAGAATCATGGGTATGAGTTATAGTTGGTGGGTCCTGGTTAACTCCATCCCTTCTGCCCACACTGAGCAAGTCCAGAGGAACCACCAGTAGTCTGGGGGAAGGAAGCATAACCCAGCTAGCATTTTAAACAGGGCGAATAAGTTCCTGTAGGCGAAAAACAATGGCATCATAGACTTAGTGATAAAAACAGCAGCTAAATGGATGTCTTACAAGAAAAAAAATAAACAAAAGATCTCCCTAAAATTTAATTTTAGTTAAAATATAGTCTAACGTATCAAGAATTTGGAACAACTGGATAAGCAGAGGTTGGGAATCACATGTCCTAATTAAGCTATACATGACACTCATGGTGAATCTGTATCACAGTCTGCAATTGTATTCCTCAATCCAATTGTTCCACAACATTGTCTTCAGGAAAATCTAACAAACCCCAGAAAATGTGCTTCGGGCCCAAGCTTGGTGAAGAACTCCAGGCTGTCAGAACACAATATTCTACATGTGGGTAACTGACCCAAAAATGCTCAATCTTGAAAAAACACAGCAGTAACTCTAGCAGGACACCAAGGCATCTGTTTTCCGTAGGTGGCATTTCCATGAGGCATCTCAGAGGAAAGGGAAGACCCCCTAACATCTGCCACCCTGCTTTCACTGGATCACTGATGCACACATGGCAGGATGTGGGAAGAACTCCAGATGCAACCCATGAGATGCATGGAGGAAATACAGGGCCCCAGATGAGATGCTCCCCTGGCTCAGACACAGATTCCAAAACAGCCAGGCCATAGAATCTGGTCTTTCCTCTGAACCATCAGGTTTTGGTTCCATTGCCCAACAAAAGGACAGTTTGATGAAAGAAATAATTATCCTAGAATTAGGATGGACAAAAGCTTCCAGCCTAACCAATGGCTTACCTAATGCCCAGTCATCCATTTTCTGGTGAGGAAGGTGCCCCCCCCCCCCGAGACATTTCCTGCTCTGGGACTCTCCACAGGGCAGCAGGGGCCCTGTCTCAGGCACTTCATCTGAGAGCCAACCTGCACCACACACTCACCTGAGACAGATGCTCAGACGCCAAATGTATGAGAGTGTGTGTGTGTGTGTGGTAAAATCCTCAGAGACAGTAACTGAAAAGTTCAACCACTCCACATACAGAAGGAATCTGAATTGACAGCCACATACAGATGAGGCCAGGTGATTCTAACTGTCACACCTTTATCCCTGGGGTGACAGCCAAACAAAGAGAGTTTGTTTACACAGCCTACTCAGCTAGAGCTAGAATGTAAAACAGTCTTTGATTTACCTGTTAAAATGGATGAGCTGTATATCAAGGATCCCTCACAATAGTCCCAGACCTTTAAATGAAACACATTTCTTTAAGAGATGTAAAATGTTGCAATTATTGCTAGACCAGAACCAAATTTTAAGCAATTAAAAATTAACCCATATAAATAACAATTAAAGAATTAAAATTCACAGTTAGCTACTGCACTATAAAAACCCGAGACTTCAGAATAATGACAACATCCTGATCCTTCCAAAAATGACCACTTATGGATACCTAGCAGACAGCAATTCCTGTGCATATAGTCAATGTTCCAGTTAGTAGCCCAGTGAAGAAGTGCCAGTGTGCCCCTGGGTCTGTGCCCCAATTGTAGAGGGTGCTCACTCACAGGACTGCATTCCAACTATGACAGTCACACAAGTTTGCTCTACCCACCATCCCTTCTATGGTAGACACAGCTCCAAGGTCATTTCAAAATATCAACTTTCTTCATTCTCATGACCACCAGTGCAACAAGAGGTCCCATTGTGTCTATTTGAAATATAAAACGGAAGTGCAACATAGTTATCCAAGTATGGCAACCTGGATTTCTGTCCCAACAGCTGCTGACCCCCAGAAGAAGTCAGGACCCACCAGGTCTCATCAGATGGGCATTTTAAAATGACCCATAGTACGGATTTTCATAACTTCTGTGGTTTGATACACATGTGTGGCTTTCGGCTTTCCTTTTAGGAAAATTACAAATGACCATCCTTTGTTAGTAAATTCATAGTAACACTAGCTAACTTGGGGCAGCTCAGAAGTAAACCTGCATTTTGCTTTATATTTTCAGAAGTTTAGTTTAGTTTTGATTGAATCCTCTGGCTGGGGACACTAGATCCTAGGCAATTAGAAAACATTGCAGGTATACATTGCCCCCTCTAGATTTAGATGTAAGAAAAGTCCCCACAGTTGTCCCATGCCCAAATGCTAGAGACCCAAGAAACACACCAAGGTGTACCAAAGCACCAAAACTGCACTTTTGTGTGGGTGAGGAAACAGCCTCATCTGGTATGTGCTTTAAATTGTATTCATTTTCATTTTATGTGTATGAGTGCTTTGCTTGCATGCATGTCTGTGCACTGCATGTGTGCAGTATCCATTGATGACAGAATAAGGCATTAGATTCTCTGGAACTAGAATTCTAGACAGTTGTAAGCCCCTGTGTGGGTGCTGGGAACAAAATCCTAGTCCTCTGCAGGAACAGTGGTGCTCTTAACCACTGTTCCATCTTCTCTCCAGCACTGCCATGTTTGTATTACAAGGAGAAAAAGACCTTGCATAGCAATAGCAATCGTACTGTAGCAGGAAGATATGTCCACAGCATCCTTATGCCCACAGCATCCCTATGCCCACAGCATCCCTGTGCCCACAGCATCCCTATGTCCATGGCATCCCTAGATCCACAGAATCCCTATATCCACAGCATCCCTGTGCCCACAGCATCCCTGTGCCCACAGCATCCCTATGCCCACAGCATCCCTATATCCACAGCATCCCTATGCCCACAGCATTCCCTATGTCCACAGCGTCCCTATGTCCACAGCATCCCTAGATCCACAGAGTCCCTATGTCCATACCTTCCCTGTGTCCACAGCATCTCTATGTACACACCTTCCCTGTGCCCACAGCATCCTTATGCCCACAGCATCCCTGTGCCCATAGCATCCCTATGCCCACAGCATCCTTATGTCCACAGCATCCCTAGATCCACAGAATCCCTATGTCCATATCTTCCCTGTGTCCACAGCATCCCTATGCCCACAGCATCCCTGTGCCCACAGCACCCATGTGCCCACAGCATCCCTATGTCCATGGCATCCCTAGATCCACAGAATCCCTATGCCCACAGCATCCCTGTGCCCACAGCACCCATGTGCCCACAGCATCCCTATGTCCATGGCATCCCTAGATCCACAGAATCCCTATGCCCACAGCATCCCTGTGCCCACAGCACCCATGTGCCCACAGCATCCCTATGTCCACAGCATCTCTATGTCCACAGCATCCCTATGCCCCCGGCATCCCTGTGTTGACAGCCCTGCTGCCCACCTTAAAGCTTCTGTCTTCAGACACGGAGATGAGGATGTGTGTTTGCCAAGGACAGAACTCTACTGCTGTCACTGAGCCTTGATGGCCCTGCAGCTCCACCAGCACAGACTGCTTCTAGGAGGATTTGTAAAAGGTTATTCATGGAATTCTCTAGAATGACCAATGTTAGCAAATCAGTGTCCCGCAGAAAAGAGACCTTGTTGAAATAAATTCTACAAGGCCAGACAAAGGGCTCTGGAGGCAAACGGCACTTGCCACCAAGCCTGAAGACTTAACTACATTCAGTCCCTGAAACTTACATGATGGAAAAAGAGAATCAATTCTAAAGTTGTCCTCTGACCTCCACACATGTGCTGTGGCACGTACGCCTGCAGGTGCGTGTGCACATGCACGCGCGCACACACACACACACACACACACACACACACACACACACAGAGGAAATGTTTTTTAATTTAAAGAATAAATTCTATTTTACACATCCCTCCTTTCAAATTTGGACCTACCCTACCCGTATCATTTTAGAAGTGACAAATCAGATGCCCTAGCTCTGAGGGAGAGGTGCATCATGAGGAAGTAAAAGATAAGAACCAGTCAAATCTGACCTAGTACTAAGCAGGGGGCTGGCATCTCCTGGATTTCATGTTCTCAGTGGTTCTCTCCTGACAGACTCTCCTCAACATATCGTTCAGGGTGGAGGTAAGACACTCAGTCTTTTACTGTTTACTGTCCCTTTGTGTCTGTTTCTTTCACTCACTCTCTCTCTCTCTCTCTCTCTCTCTCTCTCTCTCTCTCTCTCTCTCTCTCTCTCTCTCTCTCCCAGCTATTGCTCCATGGTCATGCATGCTGCCATGCTCCCTGCCATGATGATAATAGACTAAACCTCTGAGTATTGCTGACACAAATACATGTTAACACCAACTCTAGTATCATATCAATTTCAAAGATCAAGAAGTTTTCCTTGGATCCCCCACCCCCAACGTCTTCACAAAATATATCAAACCAAACTGCCATTTTAAAAATGGAAGCAAGAATGAAATATTCACCAACAGGAACCCAGCCTGGAAGGTGCCACCCGATATGTCCTCGGCACCTCCACAGGGTGTCATTCTCACCTCCACATCCATCACGGATATTTTGTTTCCAGCACACACTGCCACAGCACGGTCATCCAGACTAAATCTCAAACACAGCACTGTTTGTAAAAGGGAACCCAGGATAGTCCCTCGAGGAGTCAGCCCTAGAGCAAATTCCACATGTTAGTGTCAGCTCATCTGTGTCAAAAGAATGGGACTTGTACAGGTCTCTGCTCCAGAGCTACAGGCAGAGGAACAACATGCTGGGACTCCAGGGGTTCATGGGCACCCAGAAGAGCTTCACAGACCAAGCTCTTCACCCAGCACTCTGTGTTCACTGCCATCCAGGCTGTGGCAGTGACAAACTCTGACCAAACTTGGGGACAGTGTGCCACGAGAACTCTGGCCTCTTATCACCAAGACAATATCTCCATGGCAGCCTGCAAATCATGTACAGAGAAGATTCAAGTGGAGCCACACAAGCAGAGGAATCAGTGCCTGCTACCTGCCCTGAGCCTCAGAAGCTACTGTTAATTAGCATGGATGTGTCACCGGCAAAATGAAAGACCCTATATGTGGTGGCTAAACTTAGTTGTCAACCTGACTGCATCTGGAATTAACTAAAACCCAAGCAGCTGCGCACACCTGAGAAGGACTTTCTTGATTGGACCATTTGAGGTGGGAAGACTCACTCCCAATCTGATCACTTGATGCTAGAGGACTTACTCTAACTCTGGAATACACCTTCAGTGACAGCCCACATAAAGGACATGGGAGAAGGCAGCTTTCACTTTTTGCCTGCTTGCCCTCACTCCTGTGGGCAAATGCTTGCTGGGACATTCCTTTGCTATTAGAACCTACTTTGTGGGGAATTCTCAGACAGACTGAAGGCCAGCAGCTCTCTAGGAACTCCATGAGACTCCAGCACCAAACCGGGACTTGTGAGACATCCAGTTTCATGGATTGAACTACCAGATCCTTGGCCTTTTAGGAGACAGCCAATATTAATCTACTGGGACCACAGCCTACTACAAGGTGTGGTAATACCCCCTACACACACACACACACACACACACACACACACACACACACACACACACACACACAATTTCATTGTAACAGTTACCTATATTTCCTTCTCTCAGCTCTGACCCTTTAGAGACCCCTGACTAAAACACTCCAAGAAGGAATGTGTGTGTGTGTCACAAACAAAATAACTGACTCGTGGACTTGCCCTGATCTTTCACGAGCACCTGTGTTATGTATGCTAAAGCATGCCTCTTTTCAGCACCTGCAGGGTAAGCTCCCAACTAGACAGGCCTCTGCCTTTGTGGAAAATTAACGTGCAGGAGGCAAAGACATAGCACAGTTAACCCCAGGAAGAGAAACAGATAAATGAGTTACAAGGATTAGTTATGGTAGCCCACATAAAAGGCATGCCGCATATAAGAGGATGACAAGACTAAGCAGCAAAGAGGACAGAAGGGGTCTACAGTAAAACACCTGTGTCCAGACCTAGGGACTCAGTGGCACTGGCTATGACTAAAACAGATCTAAAGTACAGCCCTGGGAGGGCTGAGTCCCTGCTCCACCAGGCTCAGGGTGGAGCCTATAAGCATGGCTCTTTCTATTCATGAGTGAGGAGTTTCTGGGCTTTGAGCAAACACTAGACAGAAGCTGACTAACTTTGAGAGTATCCTCGGGTTACTGAGTTGAGTATTAAATGTAGGCACGGAGAGGTCAAGGAAGATTGTTGGAAGTTAATGTCAGAATCCAGAGAAAGGATTTGGTAGCCTGTGCCTTTAGCAGCTATGGAGTGTGACTGGTGCCCAAATGTGAGACAGGGTTTAAGGGAAGACAAATGGGACTTAACAATGATTGGATACGGAGTGAGCTGAGGTCATAACCTGAGTAACTGAAGGATGGAGCTCTGGTGAATCCAGACAGAAAGACAGTGAGAGGGGGATCTCTGAGGCAGGAGTGGCAGAGACTGCCATCTTCAGTGCTTTAGGCCAACAAGGAATTTCTAATGGGAAGAATCTGGAGGCTAAATTAGGAGGAGCTCCAGAAAGAAACAAAGCGGTAAGCCATCAGCATACGAATGGTTGAATAAAATCACCAAGGGAGTGATGGGGAAAAAAAGGAAAGCCTGCATTTTGGTGAGGAGACACAAGTAAGAAGAGGAGAACCAGACAGCCAACAGGCTCTGAGGGTACAACTGACTACACTCACCACCATAGAGCCAACCAACCACAGCCTCCTCTCCTCCAAGCACAACACAAACTGCAGACCCAGAAGCATAGTGAACACAGCTGCCCCCACCCCATGTGCCCAGGAACCAAGTACAATGAGGCTCCAACTCCTGTACAGACAAGAGAGCCACACTGAGAGCTTATAGCTTCCAGGAGCTACTCTCCCCTCAAACCCATAATACAAGTTCATTCTCATCTCCAGAAGCTTCTGCATAGTGAATTGGACATGGAACAACCCGTTATATCCTGTGACGGTCGCCAAGTGAGCACTAGTGCTATGATTCAGAAAGAAGCTTCTACCCAAAAACAGACCATCATGCATCAACATTCATGTGAGGAACCTAAAACACAGTAGCCATGAACATGGGACAATGGAAACCTCACAGAACACTTTACAACACAGACAGCTGTAGACCTACAGCATCAGAAGTACAGCCACTTCTAAGACAGAGGACTATGTATCCATGCCCTCGGGAGTAACGCTCCTTATAACACAGGTCTATCTACACAGCCTCAGGAGTACAACTCCTCTAACACACAGGACCATCTATCTACAGCCTAAGTCCAGTTCCTTTAACACATAGTAGAGCCATCTATCCACAGCCTGAGAAGTGCAGTTCATTTTAACGTATAAATGGCAATAGCCACACACCAACCTGTCTTCTGATAACCAGTGTACCTGTCAAAGCAAAATACAGAACTCCCAGCTGTCCCTGGGGCTTCAGACCTGCTTAGTCCCTGATTTTGGCACAGCTTAACCACCATCTGCCTGCCCACTTACTCTGTCCCTGCTGTTCCTGTTCCAACCCTGTTCTGCCCTTTCCCCTTGCAGCTAAGCACAACTCTTCATCTTCCCCCATAGCCCTAACTCTGCAGCAGTCTCATCAACACCTTCTTCCCTGAGGCTGATTTAGGTTCCTTATCTCTGAAATATGTGTTCTGATTAATTTCTATCAACCCACTTCTAAAACCTCTTGAGCTCTGCTACAGCCTCTTTAACTCATATTCATTTTGTTACTCGGGTGGATGGATGCATAGATGAATGGATGGATGCATGCATGCATGGATGGATGCATAGATGGATGGATGGATGCATGGATGATGGATGCATGGATGAATGGATGCATGGATGGATGAATGGATGCATGCATGCATAGATGGATGGATGCATAGATGGATGGACATATGGATGGATGGATGAATGCATGGATTGACTTACTGTCTGCTGTGTGATATGAAAGTTAATACCAGTTGTTAAGATTAGAATAAAAGAACATGCATTACCTCAGCTAAATTACAAGGTTGAAGACATTGTCTAGAAATTGCTAGCTATGCTTCTGGCATACTTCCCTCACACCACTGAGGCACAAACTGTTATACAATTCTGTGGTTACTTGGCATCACTAAGCATAATCCTATAAACACATATCTGGGATGTGGACCCATCTGAGCCATCAGCCTCAGCTGCATTCGAAAGCTCACATAACAACTTAGTCTCTGTCAACCAGGTCCTTCGCACACAGAGTCTCTGCAGCCCTGTCCTTTTGTCCCTATCTCAGACCCCAGCTGAGTCTCCCATCCCCAATCACATTTCAATCACACAGAAGCCACATGTGTGAAAACATGCTTTCGTCTATCCAGACTGAGTGGGAAACTTCCTTGCAGACAGCAAGCTTTGCTCCTTCACCACTATGTTTGCAACATGAAACACAGCAAACACCTAGGTTAGCTATACATGAGGTAAGACACTCCAAACTGCCCACCGATCCTTAGAGGTCTAAATATCGAAATTTAAGAAAATAAAGAAGGAGGAGGAGGAGGAGGAGAAAAAGAAGGAAAGGGAGAAGAAGAAGGAGAGGGAGAAGAAGTGAAAGGTCAGGCATTATGCTGGCCTGCCCCTGTTACCTGGCAGAATCCACTCAGACAGTACCCTGGTCAGCCCAGGGTTCCATGGAAACTAAGTCTACACGCAGGTGCAGAGGACCCCTTTAAAAGACAAATCCCTGCCCATTTACGCTCTCTCTACACTCACTCTCTACTCTCTCTCTCCTCCTCCTCCTCCTCCTCCTCCTCCTCCTCCTCCTCCTCCTCCTCCTCCTCCTCCTCCTCCTCCTCCTCCTCCTCCTCCTCCTCCTCCTCCTCCTCCTCCTCCTTCTTCTTCCTCTCTTCTCTTCTCTTCTCTGTCTGCTTCTGCTTCTCTTCTCTCTCTCTCTATAGTGACCGGCCATGGTGGTAAGCCATTTACCCTGTTTCTCTTCTCTCTTATCTCCCTACTTTGCCAGGCCTATAATAAACTGGTCAATATGTCTAATATGTCTCATCCTGTGTCTCATCTTGGGCCTTCCTCCTCTCTTCTTCTTTATTTTTAATTTAAACAAAAGAATAACAAGAAGAGGAGGAGGAGGAAGAGAAAGAGGAAGAAGAAGAAGAAGAAGAAGAAGAAGAAGAAGAAGAAGAAGAAGAAGAAGAAGAAGAAGAAGAAGAACAACAACAACAACAACAACAACAACAACAACAACAACAAGCCTCTGCATCCACATATCACACAGCAAAGGTCAGTGGGGCTAATGCAAGGTACACTCAGACAGCTGCAGCACTGAAGGGACCTAGAAAGGTCCGACTCCCTGACATTACAAGTATACTTATAGAGACGATTCATTCCCTGGGTGGTGCTAGGCTTAAACCCTGTCTCCTCCATGGTAGGTATCTTAATTAGGGCTTCTGTTGCCTTGATAAAATGAGATGGCCTAAAGCATGGGGAAAACAGGTTTATTTCATCTTGCAACTTGTAGTTCATTGTCCAGGCAAGTCAGGGCGGGGACACGAGAGAGGAACTAATGCAGAATCCATGAAGGAACAACGATTGCTGGCTTGCTTCTCATGGCTTCGTCAGTTTGCTTCCTTACATACCCCAGGATCACCTGCCTGGGACCACACCACCAACTGTGGGCTGAGCCCTTCTATACCAGTCATCCATCAAGAAAGTGCCCCACATGTCTGCCTAGAGGCCATTCTCATGGAGGCTTTTTCTCAACTGAGGTTCCCTTAGATGACTCTAGAATGTGTCGAGCTGAAAATAAACTCACAGGCAAGCACTCTACCTACCACTCAGACACACCATCAGCCCCTTTGTATTTGACTGTTGTTACACAGCGCCTCGAATTTTCCTTTACCTTCAAGTGTCTTCTCTCTGCATTCATCCACATTCCACACTATAATACGATCCTGGGATGCAGAGCAGAGTTGAAGTGGGTCTGTTTGGTTTCCAAAAACCACAGCAGTAATCAACTGGTGGTGTCCTTGTAAGGTGAGAAGCTTAAAAAGACAAAGGAGTTACTTGTAACATCAAAAATCTATGGAAAACAACATAATTTCAGACCTAGGCTTTTAAATGTGTTTGTTACACATGATGACTTTTAATTCATTAAAATTCCTGCATGCACTGGTTGTTATGGGACATTGTTGTTATGTAACATGTTTCTCTTCCATACTTAACAAATGTGCACTCAGTACTTGATGGATGCAGAAGAGGTGCTGTTATACTGGCGGCTAAGGAGAGAGGAGCTAGCAAAGGATGGACACATTTGGGACATTAGACAGCAGGGGATACAAAGGTTCTGCTGGCTCCAACAATGAGTAAAGCTGTAGAGTTGTGGCTTAAGACTTCTGCTGACACTGCAAAAGGAGACTGGATAGCAAACATGCCAGGAAACTGGAAACCAGTGCTCAAGTACAAGCAGAAGGATACTGAGGTATATTTATGCATGAGTATGGAGGAGAGACTGGCAATGAGAACTTGTGGGCTAGAGAAATAGCCATCCTGTTGTAGAAGAAGAGAGAAGATGAACAAGTTCCCCTGGTCAGAGGAAAAAGGAAGAGCATGCAAATGAAGACAGGGTGAGGTGCCAGGAGGTCAGGGGTCCTTTGGGTTTGGAAGCTCGAGTACACAGAGGTTAACAATAAGCAGTTTGGGATGAGAGGTGTTATTGGACAGGACAGGAGACACTCTGCTCCTGGTAACATAGGCTTGTCTGTCTGCACATGACTCTAGGTGAGAGAGACAAGAAAAGTAGGAGACATGAAAGACTTAATGGCTTTTCTTGAAGGCATCAGGGTGCTCAAAAGCCATGATGTTGAGAGAACAAGACTGAGGAGGTGATGACAGAGTCTGTAGGCGCATGTCTCTTAATGACATCATCCACAAGGGCTGGGGCTGTAGCCCCGGCGAGCATTTGCCTACCATTAGGTCCAGGTTCTAATTCCTACTACTCCCAGAAAGGAGGAGAAACTCCCTCAAAGGTGATTGTCAGACATTCTGTACAACCATGCTGAGAAGCTTAGACATTAAAAGACCTAAGAACAGAGACACAATATAAACAAACGCATCCTTTTCAAGAATGTATCAGAAGTCCCATATAGGAGGAGGGACAGGACATCGCTCTGCCTTAGCTCATGGTTGACTCCACAAACACTAATGTTTCCAGAATATGCGAGAAATAGAGAGACAGGGCAAGGTCTCTGTGACCCTGGTTTGTGACCTACCTGGTGAGAAGTGCCCCTAGGGCTCCACACACAGAGATGGTTTCCATCCAAAGGAAAAGCACAGTGCTGTGTGTCACAAGCAAGCGGGACATGAGCTGTAGACTTCTGGGACTCAACCAGGTATCTTTCTGTAACTATATCACTTGTGTGGCCATCAGTGGAGGGCATCTCTGGAAGCGTTTCCATTATCAGTCTGAAAATACAAAGCATAGGTAAGATTGGGGGAGTCAGGTGTTGGTGGCGGTGCACGCCTTTAATCCAAGCACTTGGGAGGCAGAGGCAGGCAGATCTCTTTGAGTTTGAGGCCAGCCTGGTCTACAGACCAAATTCCAGGTCAGGCTCCAAAGCAAAACAGATAAACCCTGCCTCGAAAAACCAAGAAAAAAAAAAAGTAAGATGAAGGCAGGTACAGCAGGAAAAGTCTAGTTGATTAGTCACTATCAGCATGAGTATACATGTCACATTTACCTGTTCACCCCTGCCTCCCCCAACAAAAGGAAAAGATGCCGGTGAAAGCGGAATGACCTCTACTCCTTCCCATGATCTCCATTTCACAGACCTTACTCCACCTTCTGGATCACTTTCAGGACTTTGAAGGTGAACAGCCACCTTCCAGTGACCTGGCCTGAAGGAGGACCCCTACATAAGTGATGTGGTAATTCAAATGTAATTGGCCCCCATAGGCTCATAGGGAGTGGCACTGTTAGGAGATGTGGCTTAGTTGAAATAAGTATGGCCTTGTTGGAGGAAGTGTGTCACTGTGGAGGTGGGCTTTGAGGTCTCATGTATGCGTAAGCCATGTCTGGTGTCTAGACCACTTCCTGATGCCTGCCAGTCAAGAGGTAGGACTCCCAGATCCTTCTCCAGTACCATATCTGTCTGCATGTCACCAAGTCAAACCATGATGATAGTGGACTAAACCTCTGAGACTGTAAGCCAGCCAATTAGATGTTTTTCCTTTAGAAGAATGCTGTGGTCATTGTGTCTCTTCACAGCCATAGAAACCCTAACTGAGACAAATAGAGTTGGTGATAAACTCCAGTAAGAACCAGGAACCCCAAGAGCAGCCCTGGGATGCATCAAAATATCTCAATATTCTATGATAGAAGTTAGGTTATTGTGGTTACATCATCTGTGGTTTGTGGCTGTCTCACCAAGCATATTTTAACAAAAATGTTTCAGATATTTTATTTACTAAATAGTTTAGTGAACATGACCACCTTAGACCCATGTGTCAGTAGGCTAGAGGAATCCTTGATGCCACTCATCCCCACACCCCACTGTGAGCACAGATGTATCTGAAGGCACAGCCAACAGATTTTGAGGCAGGTGATTTGTGGTTGTCACGATGCCCACACCTCTCTGTAAACAGAGCTGATCATGTCCTGATCCATCCTTTAAAACTTTGTCATTGGAAGGAAAAGTGTCTCCAAGCACAAACCTTCTTACTGAGAACCACAAACAGTGGGATTTAAATAAAACACAGAGTAACTGATTTCTGGGCCAGTAAAACCTGTAAAACTAGGCCCTAGGTGTTCTGTTAGGAGTGCTGGCTGAATGGCCATGTTTGATGAAATCATGTACACCTGTTCCTACAGTGTCCATTACAGCTGTTTCTCATTTACATCATGTTTATTTTAAAATGTAACATAGTGCAGCCCAAGACTAGGGGGGCAAATGTTGCTGTTTTGTTTCTATGGATATGTTATGCCTGTCCTGTCCAACTGCCTTCTAAGTTATCAGTTTACACTAGGGATTGGTGCTGCTCTCAGCTTTGCTCAGAGAAGCTTCCTTTTGCAGTGGGCGGCAGAGACAGTTGATTGACCAGTCATTAGTGAGACAGTGGTATTACTCCCTCCCCGGGGCTCATCACCGAAGGAGGAGAGGAAAGAAAGTAAGAGCCAGAGAAAGGGGTGCAAAGTTGTGGAACAGTCTTCTGGGCAGGGCATGGCAAATGCCCTCCTGAATCCACAATATCTGTGATTACCTACATAAAACTGAGCCTGTCAAGACTCTGTCATGGGGGGTGGGTATGAGCCCCCCACCTCTCCCTTAGGATTTATAGCTAATTTATAGTTAGTGGTTGCTGGGGGAAAAAGAGACATTTTCTTTAGTGGCGACATCACTGGTAAGGTGCCCATGTTTCCATAAACAGCCCTTCCTGTAAATACTAATTGAATCACAAAAGAAAGAAAATGGTATGAAAAATAGTACGGCTAATTGGGAAGACGATTGTGATTAGTCAGGGTGAGAGACATGAATATGATCAAACTGTATTACATACATGTGTAAAATGCCATACTGAAAATTGTCACTGTCTAATTAATGCATGCAAATAAAAACATTTTAAATGTGTGGGAGGGGAGGGGCTGAGCATCAGTAACTGTCAGCTTCCTACGAATGCAGTGTGACCAGTCACCTCGCATTCCTGCTGTCCCCAGTACTCCCTCCATTGTCGTACATTGTCACACATGTCCCAACATCCCCACCTCCCTGGATGCCTCTTCTCCCATCCCCATGGTCGATTACTCATTTCCAGGTCTCTACAGACATTCCAGGTTAAGCAAACACATCTAAGAAATCAAAGCAAATCACAGGACATGGAGTGTTTGACTTTCAGAGCCTCAGGTATCTTCATGTGCTTTCCAGTTCCATCCATTACCCTGCAAAATTCGTGATTTCCTTTTCCTTTACAGCTGAATAAAAGTCTGTTGTGCATGTGCACCACACTTTTATTATCCACTCATTGGTAAATGGACATCTAGGCCGATCCCATGGACTAGCTCTTGTGAATGGAACGCCACTGAGCATAGAGGGCTGGTACCTCTACAGTAGCATTATAGCCCTTTCATATATGCAAGGCGGTATAGTCGGGTCATGTGTAGTTTTGCCAAACTGACTTCCATAAGCAGCTGCACAGGTTTGTACTCCCACCAACAGTGATTAGGCATTCCCAATTTCCACATTCACACCAGTGTTTGTTGTCATTTGTATTCTTGATGTCTTGTTAGTATTCAGGCATCTGTACTAGCCTGTCCTTGGGGTTCTGACAGGATACGCTCTCAGCTGCAGCCACTAAGAGCACCAACTGTGCACATTCACTATGTTCCCTTCTAAAAAGGTCCTGCCGACCCCCTCCCTCTCTCTCTCTGTCTCTCTGTCTCTGTCTGTCTGTCTGTCTGTCTGTCTGTCTCTCTCTCTCTCTCTCTCTCTCTCTCTCTCTCTCTCCTTTCCTCCCTCTTCTTCCTTCCCTCCCTCCTCTCTCCTCTCTTCTCTTCTGCCACTCCTATCCCCAGAGGTCAGTCTCCCCTCTTCCCCACCCTTTTTCTATTCACTTTCCCTCCAATAAAAACACCTCTACCCAAGCTCTATTGAACACCACCTTTCTCTCGTGCACCACTTTTTAAAATTGCAACAGTCACTATGACTGGGATAAGGTGGAATCTCAAAGTAGTTTTAATCTGCATGTCCTAGGTAGCTAAGGATGTTAACACTTTTTTAGTGTATAAACAGGCAAACTTCGGTGAACTCTGTTCAACTCCATAGGCCATTTTTAATTGGGTAGCTTGTTTAGTTTTTTTTTTTTTTGGTGGGGGGTTCTTTGTACATTCCACACAATAATCCTGTCAAACATATAGCAAGCAAAGATTTTCACCCATTGCCCTCTCAGTGATTCAGAGAGTCTTCCCTATGCCCTTAAGTGACATTTATGCTGCTCTATTTCCTTTAACACTTTCAGAGTTTCAAAGAGCTCAGTTTTATAGCTCAAACTACCACTGGTCTACTGAAGAACACAAGCCTACGAAACTGCACAGATGAGACCTGGCATACAGCAGGCACCCATGCACACTCATGAGGGACCAATGCAGGACAGACAGCACACAGCAGGCACTTGTGCACATCTGTGAGGGATCTGCATGGCCACCATGCACTAAGGGTCCCATAGAATCCCTCATCTTCAGGCCACTTGCCTCTTCCTCCAGCTCAAGCTTTTGCCTAGTGAATTAACAGTGTAAACTCAATTAGAATATAGATTCTCTGATCTCCCCACACCCCAGCCACCATGGCTTGGAATGTTCTATATGGCTAATGTGATGGGGGAAGTGCTTCTGTGTATGTGTTTGTCTTATTGGATGATAAATAAAGTACTGTGTGGCCAATGAAGCAGCAAGTTTGGCAGGACTAGGAGCAAGGAGGATTCTAAGAAATGTAGTGAAGAAGTGTTGTGATCCAAGCAGGAAGTGACATAGCAGGGAGACTCATATATAAGCAAGGGCAAGAAGGAAGTCGTCCCCCTTCTCTATTCCTCCTGGTCTCTGCTCTGGAGTCACCATGTGATCTGCTGGCAAGAGAGGGCACCAGCAGAAGGCATCCTACATAAGATAAGTCTTATAAAATATATAGATTTATGATAATTAAGACTGAGCTAGCAGATGAGAAATCCTAGTCATTGGCCAAGCAGCATTTGTACCTAACTCGGGCTGTTGGAGGAAAGCGCCCACATGACGACAGGGCTCGGGCAGCTTTGAAGAAAAGTCTTATTGTTACAGAATGGTGTCAGAAGTGGGATCCAAATAAAGTGGGGCGCAATTAATGCTTACCTCAAAGGAGTCAGACCAAGTTTGATGAACAGATGTTTTAATAGGAGAGTACTCACGCAAGGGAATCAGTCCTCTACCACCAGGAGAACCATGGATCATTGAGAGTTCCATGAGTGCGACCCTCATATTTAAGGTCTTGCTACGTCACTGACCATGCCCTAGTGTGTGTGGTCTGCATCACCTGTGCCAGTCCCCAAGAGGGCGTAGCTAACATTTCCCCTACACTGTCCTCTTCTTTTTTGTTTTATGAAACAACCCATGTGCATGGGTCTAGGGTACAAGCAGCCTGCCAGTGGCTCCGCTGCCAAAGAAAACGACTCTTTACTCTCTGTCTCCACTAGGCACTGCCAGTTGCCAGCAGGAGTGAGGGTCTGATGCTGGATTTTTGACTGGCTTGATTTTGTAGAAGCCTTGCTCACAGAAGACTGCCTTGAACATCACGGAAGGAAAGTGTGACTGTGCAGATACATGGCCAGCTTCAGGAGTTCTGAGCCCGGGGTCCAAAGCCCTGTCCTCAACCTGGTACAACTCACATTGCTGCTGCTCCTCTTTGCTGCTGATGCTTGACTGACATTCTTAGCTGTAGTACCTGCCTGGGGGCAGCAATGTCCAACAGTCAGAGATGTGGGGAAATCTGGAAAACTCGGCCATTTTTCCACAGGAAGACTGCGAGACACACACACTTCCAGTTCTAGTGCCCTGGATTGGCTAACTGACAGTTTTTCCTCCATGATCAGAGGTCAGATGGCCGCCTAAAACTGATTGTCACCACAAAGTTAGTTTTATGTGAACACATTTGTTTTTCTAATCAATGGCAGTCACCCAGCAGTTTTTCACTCAATATTTTCAGCTTTCTTCCTAGAGCCACGGGAATGTAACAAGACCTCCATTTCCCACCTCTCTAGAAGTCAGGGGCAGCTGTGCCCTAATGCTCTGGCAAGTACAGCTCCAGAACAACTACACGATGGTGCACGGGTGTGGTCTGTGATGATCCTCTATTTTCTCCCTGATGGAGGAAGACAGCTGAGCCCCCGGAGCAGGCACCTAATCAGGAGGGCTGCACGGCCTGGTCTGTGTGTGAAAAGCAGCTACTGGCATTCTGAGAATATTCTGCACAGCTTTCCACCCTAACACAGGACCAGGCCCCTTGGAAGGAGATTCAGATTCAGTGACACTGTGGGACATTGCTCAGGACCCAGAAAAGCCCAACGTTTATGTCCTACTAAAGAAATGCATGCCAAGGCTTTCTAATAGCCTGGAAGCCTGAACACACATGTACTGAGCATTGGGCCCTACAGGAAATTTTCAGAAAAATTTCAGAAGTTTGAAGGCCACTCATAAACCTGATGAGGCCATGTGAGAGCAAACAGAAGCAGAAAGTGTGCAGAAGCACGGAGGCTTTCAGGCTGGGCTCAAGCATCTCCAGGTGCCCAAATCAGGCACAGAGAGTGGTCAAGACTTGGCCGTTTAGCCAAAAGCAACTCAAGGGTGTCCATATAACCTCAGGGTGCAAGCCACAAGGAGAGCAACTACATAAAAAGAAAACAGACTAAATGAGAAGACCAAGAAGGATAACAGTAGAGGTTGCTCTACCTGGAGCAAAGGAGACTCACACTGGTTAGAGCCTGTTGTTTTCCAGGGAACCATGAGGTCAAAAAAGAATGTCCAGTCAAGAATTTAAAAAAAAAATCAATAGCTGGCTGGGCGGTGATGGCAAACACCTTTAATCCCAATACTCAGGAGCATCTCTGAGTTTGAGGAGAGCCTGTCTACAGAGTGAGTTCTGGGACAGCCAGGGCTACATGGATTAACCCTGTCTTGAAAAACCACGCACGCACGCACGCACGCACACCACAATTGCTTCACAGGGTGCACCTCCCAAAGGGTTGGGCCATGCACTCTAGGAGGGCATATCCTCAGTAGCCTTGTCACATGTGGCCATAGTGGAAAGACAGGGTAGAATGAAGGACCTTGAAAAACAAAGAGCAGAATCAGGGTGAAATCAGAGAGATATTCCCAACTAACACCAGCAGGACCTTAGAACCCATGCTCATGAACAGCTTCTGCAGTCTCCATTACAGTAAGCTGACCACACTCAGGCACCCTACTCCGGTGGGGAGCCAGCACTTCATCTTAGCCCAGAGGTCTCTGGATCCACAGACAGAACTGTGTGAGGAGGGTAGCTATGTCCCACCATGCTAGCTGCCTTGACCAAACAAGTCCCTTGGAGAGGGAGTGACTGTTTTCTAAGTGGGATCTACAGAGGAATGGATGTTTACCAGAAGGGAAACTGCTTATTTTTCACCAAACTATTGCTGTCCTAGACCAGTGGTTCTCAACCTGTGGGCCGCGCCCCTTTTTGGGTGGCATATGAGATACCCTGCATATCAGATGTTTACATTATGATTCATAGCAATGGCAACATCACTGCTATGAAGTAGCAGTGTATGGTTGGGGGTCACCACAACACGAGGAACTGTATTAAAGAGTCACAGCACTAGGAAGTTTGAGAACCACTGCTCTAGACACAAAACTAGCCATCATCACTCAGCTCCCCTGTAGTCAGGTACAACCACATGGCTGTGTTCTAGCCAGGGCAGCAGGGACAAACATGTAGGTGTGAGTAACATTTTATAAGTTTGACCCCTGAGTGCCTCACCTATATGACTCTCCAACAGTGGTTAAATAGAAAGTCTGGGGGTGGTTGGGAGGGGGATAGCACATTCCACAAGCATCCTACACACAAGCACATCAGACAAATAAGGCTAAGAAAGACTTAAGTTTATTTTACTAGTGTGATCCCAGTGTATGTAAGACTCAGGAAGCAATCTGGTCTCAAAGCTAAACCAGTGAACAAAAACAGTCATCTCAGATACACGAGGGGCTGTACATACTACAGAAATAAAAACAAGTGACTGTCCTGTATTACCCAAGGAGCGTCCCAGTTAAAACTAGTTCATTGTGTATTCTTAAGGAAAAAAAAATTGTTTCCTTCTGATTATATAATATTAAAAATGTTTCTCAGTAGCTACAGAGGTAGACTCGTGTCACTTCATTCTTGATTTTGGAAAATGAATCAGGCAACTCAATAGCGGATGGGCTCCCACAGAAAATGGCGGCATCACAAAATACACCTAAAGTTGTACTTACAGCAAAAGAGGAAGCTCTCCACACTAGCTAGAAAAAGAGTTGGTTTCCAACTTAGGTCCTCGGTAGACCTAGATATTGAGGCTAACACTTGTCTGTCTATCTGTCTGTCTGTCTGTCTGTCTGTCTGTCTGTCTATCTACCTATCTATTTATCTATATCATCTATCTGTCTACCTCAGTTAATAGAGGTACAAGAACGATGCAAGATGACACCCGGATATTACTAAGGCTTCAGTTCTTTCCTAAATTATGAAATGGGTCCATAGAGCCTCTCTTTTATTATAAAAAAATAACGAGTACCCTGCTCTGTTGGCCTACTTAACAAACTACCATTGTTCAAGCCACCAATTTTGGGCCTTTTGTGCCACCATAGCTTGAATGTATCCCCCCCACAAAATTTCTACGCCGGATCCTCTCCTCCCAGGTGAGGGTCTTAAGGCTGGGAGGGACCAACTATCTATAGGAGGTGAGCCGGTAGTGGGGGTGGATCCTCCTTGATGAGATTCGGTGCTCCCCGGAACAGCTTGCCTTTCCGGCACCGAGGCCATCCGTCTATAAACCAGGAAAAATCTCCAAACAGTAAATGTGGCCTTAAGAATTGGTGGGAGGAGGAGGAAGGGAGGGGGGACGACGACAAACGTTACTGACAAGCTAAAGTCTATGGTGTTACATAAACTGGAACCGACTCAGGAGGAGGAAAAAAAACACCATTTCTTACTAATAGTTCTCACGCGGAAATTTAAATGTTTCCTCTTTCCGTCATGGTTTAAGACAAATCCCGGAGTATCTCCCCAGATGCTGCTGCCTGCGTCCGGACCCACGGGGCTTCTAAGTCCCTAAGGGGCTTGGGCTGCAGGCAAGGTCGCGGGCCTGGGCTCGGCGAGCGCCCCCTGGCGGCCTCACCTGCTGTCCTGCCCGCCCGTCTGCTCCGGAACCCGCAGCTCGAGCCGCCGCCGAGTTACCATGGTTACGAGGAAGCGGACCCTGAACGCTACGCAGCCCTTCTCTCCTCTCGCGAGAGCTCGGCGCCGATCTGCTTCCGGTCACTAGGCCGGAGTCCGTTCCCAAAAGCAAGCCCCTCGTTTCCGGGGTACACTTCCGGGCGCCGCTTCTCTTCCGCCTGCCGGGGCGAGTTCCAGGCTGAGCCCGGATGCTGCGGGTGCTGCGTGGCTTGCGGGCGGGGCGTGGCGTGGCGGTGAGTCCTGGGTCCGCAGCTTCGCCGTTCCGGACGCCTGCGCCCTCAGGGGCCTGCCCTCCCGCCCCTCTGGCCGCTCCCCTCCTCAGCCCTGCTCGCTGTCCATCCCCTTCCCCTTCCCCACTGTCGTCGGTTCCCGGGACCCAGCTGCACACGTCCCGGTCGGCCTGGGCGAGCACCTCCGGCCCAGCCTGCCGCCCGTGCCTCCCCAGCGCGGCCGCCGCAGATGAGGGAGGCCCCGAGCTGAGAGTCTGAGGCATGGCCGCTCCCTGGAGGTGCGCCCTGTGGGTGCTCCTGGCGTCCCGGGTGCTGACCCTGGTAGAAGGCCTGGAAGAGGACGACGTCCCGCACGAGTGGCTCCTTCTGCACGTGGTCCAGGGCCAGATCGGAGCCGGGAATTACAGCTACTTGCGGTTGAACCACGAGGGTAAAATCATTCTCCGGATGCAGAGCCTCAGGGGGGATGCGGACCTGTACGTGTCCGACAGCACTCTGCACCCGAGCTTCGACGAGTACGAGCTGCAGTCGGCCACCTGCGGCCAGGACGTGGTCTCTATACCCGCGCACTTCCAGCGCCCGGTGGGGATAGGAATTTACGGACACCCGTCACACCATGAAAGCGACTTTGAGATGAGGGTGTACTCTGACAGAACTGTGGACCAGTACCCATTCGGAGAGGCTGCCTATCCTGCTGACCCCACAGGAGCCAGTCAGAACCAAGCTTATGCGCCAGAGGAGGCAGCCCAAGAAGAGGAGTCGGTCCTCTGGACGATATTGATTAGCATTTTGAAACTGGTGCTTGAAATTCTCTTCTGAATCCTTATCTGCACGGAGCGACTAGTTTGCTGTGGACCTTGCTACTTGACCTGGTGAAATTCTGGTTACTTTTTTTCTAGACTAGGATGGAAAAATAAAGCCATACAGTTTTGTTACCTCAGTTTACTCCCCACGCAGGAAAAGCAGCAAGCACAATTATTTTAGAGATTAAAATTCCCATAAAAAGGAGTCTGCTCAATAAAATGTTTAAATACATTTTGGTTAGTCAGGTGAGTAAGAAGATTATTGCAGTAACAGGCTGTATAACTCAGATAAAGGCTGGTGACTGTAGAATGTATTCTGTAGACATACTAAATGGAGTACGGCACTTGCAGTTTTAAAGAGGTTCTAAAGCCAGGTCGGAAAAGCTTCCCAGAGCCACTGTGCACAGTAGGGATTGTGGAACCTGATACTCTCCTGGCAGGCAAGCATTTACACATTGTTGCTGTGCCAGCTGGTGACTATTCCAAATCCAGTTGTACCAGATGGTTGGGCCCTCTGTCCTTTCCTCTGTTGGCCAGATTGGAGTGCTCTGGTTATTAAGTAACTGATACTACCTAAGCAGGTCAAGACAGTCTCAAAAGACTGTAACTTTTCAGACTCAAGAAGAAATATTTCAAATTAAGTTGCTACCTCTTTCTGCTGATCTCTGGAAAAAGACAGCACTAAGAGATTAAAATCTGGGAAATGAGACATTTCTCTCTGACTTTTTCTTTCAAGGGTATGAGTTGCTACTAATGAAATAAATCAACTTGAAGATGTTTAAGGTCATAGTTAATTTCAAAAAAGGTTCTTTATTGGCATAAAAATGAAAGTGTAAATAAAATGGCACCAGATATCCCAAACTGAGGGTCAGGTCAAAAACCTATTTTATCCCTCTTTGCTGTTTTTTCCCCTTCTGCCCACTTTCCTGGGTGTTGGGGGAGCTCGCTGACAACAGTCACAAATCCAGCGACCTAGGAGAAAAATTGTTAGTTAATATGGAGTGGAATTTTATTTTTATAGGACTGAGTACAAACCACCTAAACTCATTCCTGAGCTGTCCATAGTGATAACTCTCTGGGATTTTTTTCAGTGGGGAGGGAAGTACTGAGCTCCTTAAGCCAAGGGAGAAAATGTAAACAACCCTTAATCAGTGTAACCAATACAATTCGGAATTCAATGCACAGACAAGATGGGGAAAGGGCACAAAACAATCATTTGTACCTTAAAAAAATATGTAATCCTAAAATTCAAATACCATCATGCTTTTAAAACCTCAACAACACAATCCTAATGTAGAACTTGTTAATGGATCTGGCTTTGTGTGGCCTGTTCCACTGTTCTGACACTAGCACCTGCACCACACACTTGAGCTGAATTACTGCAGAACCTGAGTGATTATTCACATCCTTACGGAGGGATTCCAGGAAACTGAGTTTTATAGAGAACTATACAGTGTTAACTATGCAACTTAAGTCCTTAAAATTGCACAATTACCTGTATAATGTTTCAATAGGATTACTGTGATTTACTATTTGATTCTGTGTCCATCCTAAAGTTTTCTGGAATTGTCATGCTGCCTCACTTTATAGGAAGATGTCTTAGTATATATATAAAGGCATAGCAGTCACTTTGTTAAGTTTCTAAATAGACGAACTTAAAAATAAAATGAAAGCATTGAAACAAACTGGTGGTGTTACTTTAGCAATTTTAGTAGAAAACACCAGCTCATTCTATCCCTCAGACAATACTTCCAAACCTAACCTAAGTATTCTATTTCAATTCTCCTTTGGTTGCACTAAGGATGAAAATCAGGTAGCTGTGACATGGACAGTAACAGCTTGATCATAATTGGAACATGTTCATGTCATTTATACAGCCTTAAAAGAATGCTGGGAGATCTTCATCACACAAGATAATGGGCTTTTTTGTATTTTTTTCATCTTTACCTGATGGAATAGCACCAAGGCCCACACAAAAAGTATGATAACCTCTGTCACACACATCACAGAACATCATTTCTTCTTCATGGTGGGGCTGTCCACATATAATGCATGTCTTACATTCCATACACTGCCATGGGTAGGTCTTAATTATAGAAACAAGCTCCATGGTCATATCCAAGCAAGAAGGGTGGCCTAAATCAAAACCAACATTAATAGGATTTCACAACAGAACTTTCAACTTAAGGCACATAAAACATTAGTTCCCAAGAATGGCTGCCAGGATTAATGTTACCATAGACACATCAAAATACAAAGTAGCAGATACATGGGTTCTGACTACAGCTAACAAGTCACTATTCATTTGCTGACTCTTTGGTGGATACCTAGCTGATAACTACAAACCCTAGCTTTTAAGGCAATATGCAGGGGTGAGGTAAAATCTTAAGGAGACATCTCTACTTACCACTGTTATCACACTGGGAGCAGTGTATAAGTGATTCAGCCTTTCCTTTCTTGTTGGATTCCTTACCCTTCAGACAAATTCCACATAGAGCATTTGGAATGACCTTTGGCTGGAAGGGTAGAAGAGGGCTATAAATTCATGCCAGAAGAACTCACTATGGGTTCAAAAGGGATTCTGTTATTACCTTATCTTTACTTTTGGTAATCTGATAATGAAAACCTTTTTGTAAGACATAACTGGATATGAGATGGATCAGAATATAAAACCCCCAACTAATGAAAGCCTAGACTGTACTCCATAAACCGCATCAACGTGTGTTGCCTAAATGTAGCACTCTGCTCCCTACACACACAGCATCATCTCTATAAAAAAAGACCAGAAGGAAAAATGAAATAGGATGTCAAATGCCACTAATAGTTGGGAAAGAAAATCCATATACCAAATAACCACACATAAAGCTAAGCCTAAGTTTTAAGCTTATATTAAGCTTATGTTCATTTTATTTCAAAAACTGGTGTTTTTCCAGTGATAGAGCTAAGCCTACAAAATCTAAGCTAAAAAAAAAAAAGACACTATTTCAGTATTTTAATTGGAAGCTGTCTTGTCCATACATTGTCATGCATAAATGTCTATAGAAATCTGAGTTGGATGCATAGTCTTGTTCCATGTCTAAAAAGAACTATGATAAAAGAGAGAAGCAGTCACTGTGACGTGTAAAACATAAAAAGTTTTTGGGCATGGAAAAACTATAGTCAAATAGGAAATATACAAAGCATATTTTGAGTATTATCTTTCACATTAAAAACACACACAGTATTTGGGCTTTAAACATGGAATGGGATAAAATATAAGGAGTTTCCTACACTTACAATGCCAGGGCAAGGAAGGGATAACAGAGCATCATAATCTTGACCGTCACGGACGCTGCTCACATGTACTATATATAGGTGTGCGTCAATAAATGGTTAAAAGGTGGGAGGGACAAAGATGGTAGCAGGGCAATAATCTAACACAGTCAAACGCATTGCATCTCTTTCCTGATGCACCATAGAGATCTAAACTCAAACTTTTATAAAGCAGTCTCACTTTAAATGTTCCACTGCCACTTTCGTACCTTGTCAAACCTAAATAATAATTTGCTTTTACTTTTTTAAAAATATTTTCTTTGCAAAAGATGACAGAGGCATTCAAAAACAATTTTTGGCTTATTTATTTTTTTAAAAAAGTCAACCTTATACATAAATATGATAAAAACAATATCTAAACAATCACAAATGTCTCTACAAAATAATAAATATCATGGAGTTAAACAAACATATAAAATGTCCCCATTGACTGCTCTCCATCCTCTGTGTATTTTATACCCTGCTCTCCCGGCATCTGACAGCAGCTGTTACTCAGCTACTCTTGCTGCACCCTAAGCACATGGCTTCACTGTGTCCAGGTTCTCAGTGAAAAATAGCTAGGAAGTTCACTTCAAAGACTGAATCTTAACAGCCATAATATGCAGGAAGAACTTTCAATAACCTGTACTAAATGTAAAAGATAAACTTACTTAATGCTTAGAGTTCCCTTAGACACTGGCATAGTAAGTACTCCAGTGTCTTTCACTAAAGTCAGGGAAGAAACTACACAGTATTAAATTTTGGAGAGAGAATTCCTCACAGGAGACTCTTTACACAGCAACTCAAAAGGAATAAAACACAAACCTAGTTATTCACATCCTAGAGCAATTCAAGTTCTACAGTCACTAAAATACACACAATGCCTATAATAAAAGACACTAAGAAAACTCAGGGTTTACCTTTAAAATTATACATAATTTCCTGTTAAACCATTTAAAATTGTTTCTTACCCAATAATCTTCATCTTGTTGAGAAGAAAAATATTCAAAAAACAGAAAGAATGGGAGAGGGGAAGAAGGATGAGGAAGAAAGAAAAGTGACGGAGGAGAGACTACAGCAGAAGAGGGAGAAAGAGATACGGTACTGTAGCATTTTCTACCGTGACTACAGTCCAACATACAAAAGCGCATTGTTCTTGTCAGTACGCAGGCTCTAACAAACCACAGGGCCTCACAGACAAACTGAAGACCAACACTGAAGGAGAGAAAGAAGGTGCAAAAGTCTCTTGAAGATCATGGGTGAAGGCCCTGTGCCTCTTTGAAACCCTCTGACCTCCTTCAAACAATTGCAACAACCTTTTAGTTTTCTTCAGCCAACAGCCCTCAGCATCTCAAATAAAAGGCTCATGTATACTTACTTCTCTTGAAAAATAGCAAAATAAGTTGAAACTAACATAGTATAGATTTTAATTATATATGTGTAGGCCTGAAGCCTAACAATTACACTTTAATTTCAGGTTAATGTAACCTAAGCAAGACTGACCTACAAGAAAAGGGCAAGCACTAGTCCATCTTATTAAATCACATACATTATCATGTTTCTTAACGCCCTTATTTTAAAGGGGTGTGTGTGTGTGTGTGTGTTGTCTGTGAGTGTCAACTTGAAGTACCCTAATAATTAGGCACATCTTGGCTCATTAATACTTTTCATAGAGAGGTTAACTTTGAATAATCACGTTCACATTAATATATAATATCTATATATTGGCTGTTCCTATCTTTGAAATACCTGAAACATTTTTAGTAATTAAAAATGTTTACAGATTATAAAATGTTTATTTTGCATATGCGGCTCCCTGGAGTACTATTAACTATTAATCTATATGATTCATTCACTACATCAGTGATGATATGGATAGTTCTTCATTTCCAGCCTGTATTACACGTCTGTTTCAATATTCTCTATTTTATAACGCATGATCAAACAGACTCCTTGTTTAACAGCTTTCTCAGCCCTGGACAGCTGCCACTCCCAATAGTAGGTACCTCTAAGACAGTGACACACACTGGCTCCTGCAGGCTGTTTCTGAAATGTCATCTTTGGAGTTTGTTTGGTTTCAATTATTAAGCAGTAACTGAAATCTTTAGTTTACAAAGCTATACATTTAAAAAAACAAACAAACAAAAACCAAATACAAAACCACACAGCAGCAGCCTACTGAGGCTGTCCTTGGAAGGATTCCTTGCTGAATAAAGCCATAATCGCTGGCCATGCACAAAAGCATGTGTTTTTAAGTGAATCATACATGGGTATTTCTAGTAACTTACGGGACATTCTAACTTACTAATGTTCTGTCAGAAAGTGTTCCAGTGAGGCTGAGGGAAAATGACTCCCAGGTCACTTCGGCTTATTTTCTGTGCTACATGCTGTGGTTAGGATACAAACACACAGGACTCAACTCAGCAAAACTCTTATTCATAACCTTCCTCTAGTAACCTCCACACAGTAACAGGATGTACAGTCTAATACAGCCAAGACCAAAAGAATGGTAATCTGTGCCATCACCATCCATGTCACAAAGCTGACCACTATGTCCCTTCCGTCTACAGTACTCTTACATTCCTTTGCACCATGACAGCTGCTCACCCCCCATCCAACCTTCAGGAGAGAGGTAGACAGAAAAGAAACGTTAAAAATACTAGTTTCTGATCACCTGTGACCTTACTCTGAGAATAATCAGATTCACAAACGAGGCTATCTGCCAAAGGTTATACAAAAGCATGATATAAGTAACAGGCTTCACTGTTTTCTACCAAACTTGGCAGAATTTGGCAATTGGATCCAAAAATCCTTAGTATAAGCCCAGATATTCTCAATGAAAGGCACTACACAAAAATACCACCTCGTGAGGTTGTAAGTCCACTCCAACTTCACAGCTCACCAAGTTTAGCTTCACCAACTGTTCAGATATTCAAAACGCTAGACAATTTATGCCCTGTACTCAAAAATAAAATAAAATCAAGGTCTGCCTTGAAACAATGTTCTAAAAACTCACATTTGCCTGGCTATTACTTAAAAGGGTATGAAGACCCATTTGTTTCTATACAGGAAATAGAAGCTACACCATGACCAAAAGTGACAAGAAAGCCACCAGGGAAGGAAAGCAGTGGGCAGGTGCACAGCACAGGGACAGAGCGAGCACAGCAAGCTCAGCTCCTCGGCTCAGAGTTAACGGTCTCAGGGAGAAGCTGAGTCAGGGGCTTTTTTCTTCTACCTTGTACCCAGGAACTGACTTGGACAGTACAGAACGTTTGGAGCCATCTTTTCTTGTAGTGGCCACTTTGTCTTTTGATTTCTGTCTTCCCTGAAAGGTGTCCTCCTGGCTGTCAGGGGGGCTGTCTCCTTCAGACACATTGCCTGAGGAGCTGTCCTGTAGCAAAAGATAAAAACAAGGGTTCCTTGGAATTAAGACCAAGTTGAGTCTGTGTGTGTTTTGTTTTTGTTTTTTTATTGTTTTTTTGTTTTGTTTTCTTCTCTCTTTCAAGACAGGGTTTCTCTGTGTAGGCCTGGCTGTCCTGGAACTTACTCTACACACCAGGCTCTCCTTGAACTCAGAGATCCGCCTGCCTCTGCTTCCTGTCTGCTGGGACTAAAGGCGTGCACCACCACCCAACAAATCTTAGTACTTTAAATGACAAAATGTTTTGTTGAAGTTTTAAAAGTTGATGATTCTAAGAAATTTATTTCTAATAGAGTAAAAAAAAGGCCATGTTAAGTTATTTACCCTTCTAATAATTATATTTCTATTAGCAAGTATCCTAGTCAGCTATGTATTCTGATTTAAGTCAACAAAAATGGAATTACCAACTTCAACTATTCTATTACACAGCTTCAATATTTTTCATGCCACAGGGATGCATACTGCTTTATATTTATAAAAATACTTATTTTTCCTCTGAGTGACAGAAGTCATTGTGAAAGTCCTTCAAATACATAACCATATTCAAACTATATCCCTACCTACAATTTTTGTTCAAAGGACAAGACCTCAGTATCTGATCATTGCACTCATTTTATAATTTAAAGTTTTACAACTTTATATTCACATAAATTATGAAAACTGAAGGAAAGAAAATTAAGCTATCCATAACCACCTGATAAGCACCCTGCAAATGACTAAGACATGAACTCATGTCCTCATGTCCCATCTGGTTTCTCAGTGTGTTTATACTCTGCAGAAGCCCAGACTCTTGAACACACCTTACATCCTCATAATGTGGTTTCATCCTGGCAGTGTAATCCACAAAAGTGGATTATACTGCATGTGGTCTCACTATGTGTGCATCAGTGTACACGTGACCAATGTGTGTACACAATGGCATGGATGCACATGGATCACCAGGCATATATGTGCAAACATGTTTTGTCATGTTGGTAAAGTACTACATGCATTTTCTGGTAAAAAAAACTAACTGCATTTTTTTGTGTAAATGTATCACCAGTGTGCATAAAGATTTATTTCTAAATTCCACAACACTAAAACTTTTTTTTTCTACTTAAATTTTGCTAACATCTAATTAAGTCCTTAGGATTAATTGTTAGCAAATTTGCCAGGTCAAAATCTGTGAAAAATTCTGGATATTTGACAGTTCAAAATGCTTTCCTCAAATAAGAGATAAATTTATATTCTCCAGAACAGTGTGATAAAACTGAGTTTGTCATTCCTAACTTCCATGGCACCTTTCCAGTAACTGACAGGAGCATTAGCATTGTAGGACTTGGAGAAGACCTTGCTTCATGTAACACATAAGATTAAGTATGGCTTAGAAGCTGTCTCAGACAATGAGATACAATGCTACTCAATGACAGACAGCACACTCTTGGGTTGGCTACAATGTAAGACATAAGATGGCTGTGGCTTAAAGTGTCCTTCTGAGGAAAGTCAACCCTAAACCACCTCAGAGCTACTGTCCTTCATGTCCCAATGGCAAACTTCTGCTTTTTAGCAGCTAAATGTTTGGTATTTGAAAAAGGCACCAAGAAAAACTGAATATACAATACAACATATTAGTAAGCTAATGTTTTCCTACAAGAAGTCTCAGGTTAAGCAAAAGGAACCCAAGGTAAAGGGCTGCCCCAGTCCCAAAAATATACATTTCTCTATGGCAAAAGACCAGTCTATTTTGTCCATTACTTTAATCTGCATAAGCAGCAAATTAGATACAAGACTATTAATGTTCTATACAATTGCCTATCTTGCTCAAAATAGAAGTTTTTTCAATACAAAACATGCCTAAAACAACAACGCATAACCGGCTTACATCAACACACAATGAATATTCATGGGGAAATTTTTCTATAAATATATACAACTGTCCTGTTCAAACGGTATGATAATAGAGTTCAACTTAACATTCCAGGAAAGCAATCAGCAAGTAATGAAAGGCTGCCTCCTGGTAAGGTACACAGTCCTACCGAAGTGCCTTTATTTTTCCGCTTTTCATCCCCTCGACTATCTTCGCCATCATCTGAATCACCGTCACTATCTAGTGCCGGGAGCTCTGGGTCCAGGGGCGGCTCATACAGGGCTGTGTTTAATGGCAAGTACCGAAGCTCATCCGGTGAGTACCTGAATTCAGAAAGGTTGCTTTCAATATTAAACAGGTGAAAACTACCCTTTAAGCTCTGAAATTAGCCTTAGACTTTTCACTCACAAACAGTTCACAAAAATAGGGAGGAAGAAATTTTTCATTTTGGTCATCAGGTGGGGATAAGTAGTAAGTTTTAGAAATCTCAACATTCTTCCCGACTGATCATGCAGTTGTCCCTACCTAAACTTAATGTCTTTCCCTTTACCCGCAAAACAAGAAAAAAAAATAATAATAATAATGAAAATAACATGTCAACAGACAGGAGTGAAACCCAAGCAGCCCCAGACAGCACATAAAGGCCTGGGCCCAGGCCCCTTCATGTGTGTTCAACCACACACAGAGTTGTGGTGACTTCTGCACTGTGTCCTTACACTCAAAATCAGACTCATTAGAGAAATCTATCTCATAAGCCCAACAGGATGACTAAACAATTTCATGAAGTGCACAGCATTTAATAACTGAGATAAAAATTAGCAAAGTTTTTAATAGCAATTACTTTAAAACATTTTGCAAAGCATATATTCCAACATTTATATGTCCCCTAGTCTGGTGGCACACAGCCCTCCTGGCCTCAAGAGAGCTACTTTGACAAGACATTACAACAGAACAAAGGGACTAGCTGACCACTTAAGAGATTTAAAAAACTTTTTACACTAAAATTTTGCACAATTTAGACAGTTACACAGCAAGTGTGATTCCATGCTGTAGGGAGTCAGGTTCTCTGAAGAAAACTACGCTGAAAACAGGTTTCTAGAGTGAGGTCACCTGCTGGAAGAGAAGCTAAGACTCTGGAACCCATTAGTCCTAGTTTGAACGGTTTCTGGTTACTTAGGATGGAAACAGGAAACAAGTACACTTACAGGAGAGTGTGCCCACACTTGCCCAGGTACTTATTGATTCCTTTTATATCGTCTTAGTACCTTCGGCCCCCACACACTCCACTCTGCATTGCACTTTGTGAGCATCACTTAAGTGAAGGCTCTGGAGAGGACTCTGAAGCTGAACATACATAGATCCTAATTTTAAAAGTGCCTCCCGATAATACCAAACTACTGGGCTATGTGCCATACTGTGAGTACTAAAGAGCTACAGGGCCTCAGGTACTTGTCTGTGACACATCCAAACAGGGCAGGCCAGAGTTGTGGGCACTCCAGACTTCACCAGTAGGGCTTCAAATTCAGATAGAATGGCATTCTTTACACAGAACCCAAGAAGGAAAATGCAAACACAACGTTTTGATATCACTGATGGACATAAAATTTTAGGAGACTATGAAACCATAAATAGCTAAAAATTTGGAATACCTCTTATAATACTCCTGGAACTGTCCGGGGATGAGAGCCACTGGGTAAGAACTGACCTTTGTTCGGTCTGTTGGCAACACTTTGTACTTTCCTTGAGGCACTTGGATAACCTGTGTTAACATCAAGAAACGTGAAAACTAATCCAACCTGGGAACCAAGGCTTCTAGAAAAGAATTCCCATGTGTACACTACATCTATGTCCCCGCCCCAGAGAAATGCTAGCAATTCAAATGACCCGGGAACAACACCCTAAGGGATGTGGTGTTTTCTGGCTGCATGTGTGAGTTCTGTACCTGTTATCCACCAGGTGCACAGACTCTGAGGAAAGCTGCTATGTCTCTGGCTCACCACGGTCTTTCACAAAGTTGAAAATGTCCTGGGGACACTGGTCTAACCTCACGGGGCTCCCATAAAAACCAGAGGTAAGCAATCTGTGCTGCTCTTACCAACCTTGGGACACAGGAATTACAATACCTAGCTACTGTTAGTCTCCCTCAGTAAACTCTCAATCATAAAGCAAAGGTCTTGGGAGGAGGGAGGGGAAGAGGACAAGCAAATGGCATTATTCAATACATCATTAAAAAAACAGTATCTTAACTTGTTAGAAAAGAAACACAGCTGGCACCGCAATAATAAATAATAATATAATAATAATGATGTACAGGAAGTGATGACCATTCTGCAACAACAAAGGAGACCCAGATACCACTGAACTAAGTCACCCTACATGTGTCTGCAAGTCAAAATATGCTCTTCTCTCTTCCATGCGTTCCCGGTTTAAGTTGCTGTTGAATTCGGCTGCTTTCTTGGCAGCTTTCTTAATGTACTCAGGTACTTTGCTGGCTTCAACTTTCTGAGTATTCTGTTGTTGCATTTGCTAACAGAAAAACATTACAGTTAGAAATCATATATAATTTTATAAAAAGTTTCCCCACCCCCTAAGACAGATGTCAATCACTTCAAATTACTTACAGAATACTCTTTATAATGATCTGTAATCCTCTGACGTTCCTTTTCTTGTAGAATAACAGAATATTCAGCATGTTTAGCTGGGTATTCTTTTATCATTAAATCAATCACTTCATCACTGCGCAATGCTGTTAAACCTATTTTAGAACACCCCCCAAAAAGTAAAGAAAATCTTTTAAGGCCAAGTGAACACAGGTACTTTTTCAAAAAGTAGTTTCTCTTTCAAACTATTCTACATTAAAAAAAAAAAAGCTTATAGTAAGCAAAATTACTACATTTTAAAATAGCAAAAGTTACTTTTCATAATAAAGTCAAGCAATCGGGCTGAAGAGATGGCTCAAAGGTTAAGAGCACTGGATGCTCTCCCACAAGATCCTGAGTTCAGTTCCCAGCACCCACATGGTGGCTCATAACCATCTATAATGAGATCTGGTGCCCTCCTCTAGTGTTCAGAGATACATGCAGGCAGAATACTGTATACATAATAAAGAAATAAATTTAAAAAAAAATAAAGTCAAGTAATCAAAATTAAAGATTATCATGTAAAGACAAAGAAATCAATTTTTCAACCAAATGAGTTTCTTTTAGATTTTATGTAAATTATAAGGATATACTTAGAAATCAGTGTGAAATAATGATATAATTGTAATACATAAAAACAATAATATAAGCCAATAATAATACAAGACATATAAAAAATTATTTCTCAATATCTATTTCCTAGTCTCTAAATCTATATACCACAAATATCATAATTCACATTTCATATTCACTAGTCTACACATACCGTCTAACAACTTGCAGTATCAGATTTTGCCTACTGATGTCATGAATTTAACACTGAAAAGTTTTACGTAAAGAATCTGCTATAATGAAGTAAAAACTTAACAAGATTTGCCTTTTAAAGGGTAAGCATCTATGTGCTCAATCCCCGGCACTGCAGAGAGATAACAGTCCATACTCAGATACAAACAAACTTTATTCACATCCTTTACATTTGAACAATAATTAAAAAATGAGTCAACATTTTAACATTTGAATAATTTTTTTATTAACTTTGTAAGCACTTTAGGACACAAGACCTGTATCCAGTATCACCTACAATGTTCGGCATAAAAGACACAATAGGAGCTGATTACCTAGTGTGCACTGCGTTTCTGTAATGACGTTTAATTCTCTCAGGTAGAGTTTCTCCTTGTGAGATAAATCTCGTCGCTCTAAATCTCCAAAAGCAGAACAAAAGGAGTATTAAAAACTAAAACTATACATTTGAAAACTTTAAAAAACTTGAAAAACTATTTTAAACACATCTCTCACTGCATATTCTAAGCATCAGTAATACTGAGGTAAATACACACACACACACACACACACACACACACACACACACACA